TATACACTACTATACACTACACTACATACACTACAATATACACTACAATATACAAGTACTAACTACTAATAACAAACTACAATATACACTACACTACTATACACTGCTATACACGACACCTATACACCTACATATACCTACAATATACACTAAACAATATACACTACTATACACTACACTATACACTACACTATACACTACACTATACACTACAATATACACTACACTATACACTACCATACACGGTGCTTACATTTGATGTAACACTTTTTTGGGACTGTCGTTTTTACACGCTTTTATTTCACTGACTCTTGTTGTCGTATCATCAAATCTTGTAACTCAATTTTAACCCACTTCTCAATATGCTATCGACTGCACACTTGGTATACGTACGTCATACTGATGGCAATACTGTATTCTATCATTAAAATATATATTTTTAAACGTTGTTTTATAAGTTATGTTTCGGCTTGGGTCTAATTGTCCACGCTCCACTGACGTTGGCTGTAGTTGGCCAGTGCCCCTTGCGTTGTGGCAAGCCTCGGGCCACTTCCTGGAGTCGTGGAGTACTGCCATGACCACACTACATTTCATAAAAGCGTGTTTTTAAAAAAAGTTTTTTTTACAAATATTAATTATTAATGGGAACAGAACGGACGACACACCGTAACATGATAACAAATCTCATCTTATTGGTTCTTTCGGTAAAGTCACGTAGAATGGAAATAATAAAATAAAAAAACATAATAAAATACAATTCTCACGACGTTTCGGCCACAACGCAAGCAGCCGTCCTCAGGTGAAGAACAGGTATGTCGGGGAGACAGCGTCTGAATGAGACAGACCTGTTTCTTCACCTGAGGACGGCTGCTTGCGTTGTGGCCGAAACGTCGTGAGAATTATTTTATTATGTTTTATTTTTATTATTTTATTATTTCCCTTCTACGTGACTTTACCGAAAAGAACCAAGAAGATGAATCCCTGCAGTCACGAAAACTTTACATCGAAACAAATCTAATGTCCAGAGCGCCACGAAGTCAGATCGTCTCCACGTGTTTCCATCATCATCGTCATCACCATCATCATCATCACCATCATCACCATCATCATCATCACCATCGTCATCATCACCATCATCATCGCCACCATCATCGTCACCATCATCATCATCACCATCATCATCACCATCATCATCATTACCATCATCATCACCATCATCATCATCACCATCATCATCACCATCATCATCACCGTCATCATCACCATCATCACCATCATCATCATCACCATCATCATCACCATCATCACCATCATCATCATCACCATCATCATCATCACCATCATCATCACCATCATCACCATCATCATCATCACCATCATCATCATCACCATCATCACCGTCATCATCACCATCACCATCATCAACCATCATCATCATCACCATCATCACCATCATCATCATCACCATCATCATCATCACCATCATCATCACCATCATCATCACCGTCATCATCACCATCACCATCATCACCATCATCATCACCATCATCATCACCATCATCACCATCATCATCATCACCATCATCATCACCATCATCACCATCATCATCATCACCATCATCATCATCACCATCATCACCACCATCATCATCACCATCATCATCACCATCATCATCATCACCATCATCATCATCATCACCATCATCATCATCACCATCATCACCATCATCATCACCATCATACATCACCATCATCATCATCACCATCATCATCATCACCATCATCACCATCATCATCATCACCATCATCATCATCACCATCATCATCATCACCATCATCATCATCACCATCATCATCACCATCATCACCATCATCATCACCGTCATCATCACCATCACCATCATCACCATCATCATCATCACCATCATCATCACCATCATCACCATCATCATCATCACCATCATCATCATCACCATCACCATCATCACCATCATCATCATCACCATCATCATCACCATCATCACCATCATCACCATCATCATCATCACCATCATCATCACCATCATCATCGTCATTGTCACCGCGTGTGCCTGGAATCTCGTCTTCCAGGTGCTGCCTGCAGCGCCTGCAGGCAGCACGTGGCGTGTGCCGGTGTCGTGGTTTGCACATTCTCAGAAGTTTAGAAACACATTCCTTGTTTAAAGCCCTCCCCATGTGAACGCCGCCGGGCTTGGGTTGTGGCTTGCGGGCTTTGCCTCGCGGGATGCGTCAGTGGCGAGATATTATATCGGCGGCGCGTCTAGGTGGGGTGCTGAACTTTCTTGGTGTGTGTGTGTGCCACTGCCGTGATTGTGTCTTCACTGTCACTGTTGTTGTTGTTGTTGTCATTGTTACACCCTCACCACTCACACTGTTACACCCTCACCACTCACACTGTTACACCCTCACCACTCACACTGTTACACCCTCACCACACACACTGTTAAACCCTCACCACTCACACTGTTACACCCTCACCACTCACACTGTCACACCCTCACCACTCACACTGTTACACCCTCACCACTCACACTGTTACACCCTCACCACCCACACTGTTACACCCTCACCACCCACACTGTTACATCCTCACCACTCACACTGTTACACCCTCACCACTCACACTGTTACACCCTCACCACCCACACTGTTACACCCTCACCACTCACACTGTTACATCCTCACCACCCACACTGTTACACCCTCACCACCCACACTGTTACACCCTCACCACTCACACTGTTACACCCTCACCACTCACACTGTTACACCCTCACCACTCACACTGTTACACCCTCACCACTCACACTGTTACACCCTCACCACTCACACTGTTACACCCTCACCACTCACACTGTCACACCCTCACCACTCACACTGTTACAACCCTCACCACTCACACTGTCACACACCCCTCACCACACACACTGTTACACCCTCACCACTCACACTGTTACACCCTCACCACACACACTGTTACACCCTCACCACTCACACTGTCACACCCTCACCACTCACACTGTTACACCCTCACCACACACACTGTTACACCCTCACCACTCACACTGTTACACCCTCACCCACTCACACTGTTACACCCTCACCACTCACACTGTTCACACCCTCACCACCCACACTGTTTACACCCTCACCACTCACACTGTTACACCCTCACCACTCACACTGTTACAATCCTCACCACTCACCTTTCACAGCAGTACACCTCTCACCACACCACACTGTTTACACCCTCACCACTCACACTGTTACACCCTCACCACTCACACTGTTACACCCTCACCACTCACACTGTTACACCCTCACCACTCACACTGTTACACCCTCACCACTCACACTGTTACACCCTCACCACTCACACTGTTACACCCTCACCACTCACACTGTTACACCTCACCACTCACACTGTTACACCTCACCACTCACACTGTTACACCCTCACCACACACTGTTACACCCTCACCACTCACACTGTTACACCTCACCACTCACACTGTTACACCCTCACCACTCACACTGTTACACCCTCACCACTCACACTGTTACACCCTCACCACGCACACTGTTACACCCTCACCACACACACTGTTACACCCTCACCACTCACACTGTTACACCCTCACCACACACACTGTTACACCCTCACCACACACTGTTACACCCTCACCACTCACACTGTTACACCCTCACCACGCACACTGTTACACCCTCACCACACACACTGTTACATCCTCACCACTCACACTGTTACACCCTCACCACTCACACTGTTACACCCTCACCACTCACACTGTTACATCCTCACCACTCACACTGTTACACCCTCACCACTCACACTGTTACACCCTCACCACTCACACTGTTACATCCTCACCACTCACACTGTTACACCCTCACCACGCACACTGTTACACCCTCACCACACACTGTTAACCCTCACCACTCACACTGTTACACCCTCACCACTCACACTGTTACACCCTCACCACGCACACTGTTACACCCTCACCACACACACTGTTACACCCTCACCACACACTGTTACACCCTCACCACTCACACTGTTACACCCTCACCACGCACACTGTTACACCCTCACCACACACTGTTACACCCTCACCACGCACACTGTTACACCCTCACCACACACACTGTTACACCCTCACCACACACACTGTTACACCCTCACCACTCACACTGTTACACCCTCACCACACACACTGTTACACCCTCACCACACACACTGTTACACCCTCACCACACACACTGTTACACCTCACCACGCACACTGTTACACCCTCACCACACACACTGTTACACCCTCACCACACACTGTTACACCCTCACCACGCACACTGTTACACCCTCACCACACACACTGTTACACCCTCACCACACACACTGTTACACCCTCACCACTCACACTGTTACACCCTCACCACTCACACTGTTACACCCTCACCACCCACACTGTTACATCCTCACCACTCACACTGTTACACCCTCACCACTCACACTGTTACACCCTCACCACTCACACTGTTACACCCTCACACACACTGTTACACTCACACTCACACTGTTACACCCTCACCACTCACACTGTTACACCCTCACCACTCACACTGTTACACCCTCACCACACACACTGTTACACCCTCACCACTCACACTGTTACACCCTCACCACGCACACTGTTACACCCTCACCACTCACACTGTTACACCCTCACCACTCACACTGTTACACCCTCACCACTCACACTGTTACACCCTCACCACACACACTGTTACACCCTCACCACTCACACTGTTACACCCTCACCACTCACACTGTTACACCCTCACCACTCACACTGTTACACCCTCACCACTCACACTGTTACACCCTCACCACGCACACTGTTACACCCTCACCACACACACTGTTACACCCTCACCACTCACACTGTTACACCCTCACCACTCACACTGTTACACCTCACCACGCACACTGTTACACCCTCACACACACTGTTACACCCTCACCACACACACTGTTACACCCTCACCACTCACACTGTTACACCCTCACCACGCACACTGTTACACCCTCACCACACACACTGTTACACCCTCACCACGCACACTGTTACACCCTCACCACACACTGTTACACCCTCACCACACACACTGTTACACCCTCACCACTCACACTGTTACACCCTCACCACACATGTTACACCCTCACCACACACACTGTTACACCCTCACCACGCACACTGTTACACCCTCACCACACACACTGTTACACCCTCACACACACTGTTACACCCTCACCACTCACACTGTTACACCCTCACCACTCACACTGTTACACCCTCACCACCACACTGTTACATCCTCACCACTCACACTGTTACACCCTCACCACTCACACTGTTACACCCTCACCACTCACACTGTTACCCTCACCAACACTGTTACACCTCACCACTCACACTGTTACACCCTCACCACTCACACTGTTACACCCTCACCACTCACACTGTTACACCCTCACCACTCACACTGTTACACCCTCACCACTCACACTGTTACACCCTCACCACGCACACTGTTACACCCTCACCACTCACACTGTTACACCCTCACCACTCACACTGTTACCCTCACCACTCACACTGTTACACCCTCACCACACACACTGTTACACCCTCACCACTCACACTGTTACACCCTCACCACTCACACTGTTACACCCTCACACACTACACTGTTACACCCTCACCACTCACACTGTTACACCCTCACCACGCACATGTTACACCCTCACCACAACACTGTTACACCCTCACCACTCACACTGTTACACCCTCACCACACACTGTTACACCCTCACCACACACTGTTACACCCTCACCACTCACATGTTACACCCTCACCACTACACTGTTAACCCTCACCACACACACTGTTACACCCTCACCACTCACACTGTTACACCCTCACACTCACACTGTTACACCCTCACCACTCACACTGTTACACCCTCACCCCACACACTGTTACACCCTCACCACTCACATGTTACACCCTCACCACGCACACTGTTACACCCTCACCACTCACACTG